AGCTGGAAGTGGCGCTGTGGCTCAAGTGGTAGAGCACTCGCCTTGAGCTGAAGAGCTGATGGACAGTGCCCAGGCCCAGAGTTCAGGACCCACGACCAGCAAAAAAAAAAAAAAATGAAAGCCAAAAGAATGGATTTCAAATTAAGTGATCGTCCAAGAGTCCAAGAGTCAGAGGGATTCTTAGGTATTAAATATCAAATATGTTAAAAATAAATAAATATCAAATATATAAATACATTAAAATATGTTTCATGTCTCTTAGGTTTAGTTTCTAAACCTAGGAATGTGTAATGAAATTGATTATTAACTTTTACTGAAAAAGTTTTATAACTGGCCTGATGAGGAGAACATAATGAAAGTAGAAACAAATGGTAGTTTTAAAATATTAACATGGAATTCATTCACTGTTAAATTGTTAAAGCCTAAAAGAAGATCTAAAACTTTTAGCTGTCTTTCAAGACAAGACTGAATGGATAGAAACTGGACTAGTTTGTTTTTTTTTATCTTTTAAATTTTTTTTATTGTGAAAATACCATACAGAGGGTTACAATTACATGGGCAAGGTAATGAGTACATTTCTTATCAAGCATTGTTGGTCCTCCTTTGAGAAACTGGACTAGTTTGTTTGTAATTAGGTTCCTAATGTTTTCCTAACAAGCTCTTTGCAATGCTCCTAGTGCTTTCTCTGGTCTCTGCAGGCTGTGTTCCCATAGCTACTAAGGCAGATTGGGTTTTCCCCCAAGTTCTTTACATAGATAATTCATTAGTGATTTTCGTCGTGAGTTACTATGGACTCCTTTGTTTATTAACTCGGTTACAGATTTGGAAAATAATATAAATATAGAGCTTAAAATTAGAGAATCTTCTCACTAAGCAAAAGAACTCACGGCATCCACTATTTCAAAGGTACTACAAACTCGGTGGGCCCGTTTTTCAATGATAGAAAGAAAACCAAAGCTGCTTTCTTGCCTGATTGCTGGTGGCTCTATAGAGGTGGAGAGAAAGTTGATGTAACCAATTAGAGAGAGAAATCTCAAGCAAAGGGTGCATTACTAGGCTACTAGAAATCATATGATGTTAGTGTTCAATGTAATGTTCATTTTCAAATTACATATCTAAGAGTAAGTGTAAACCATTAATAGAAAGATATAATTAACTGCCAGAAGTGTAAATATAGAAAATTTTATCATTTGTTACATTTTTGAGACTTGGGCTTCATAAACTTTGAATAAATGGATCTTTCTGGATTGTTGCAATTTAGAAAAGGAATTCCTAAGATGATATTAATTCAAACATTAGCTTAGAGTAGTTTTATGTTGCAAAGTATATAGGCATTGATGCAACTACATAAGAGAGTAAGTAGTATAATTTGAGTACTGTGAAATTTCAGGGAATTAAGAATTAGAAACCAACGACCAAGTATGTGTCTTTCTAGTGGAATTAGAGAGTGAGGTACAGGAGTGGAAGGTGGAAACATGGAGCATTGGAGGGAATATTCCTGCATACAGATAATTGATGTGAAGTACTTATTTCTGTAGCTAGCATAAACCACAGGTGCTCTAACTACAATACACTAGTTTATGAAGAATACATGGAGAAACAAAATGCAGTGTGAATATCAAAAGTTTCATTTCTGACTTACACTTAGGGTGCATTTGGTTATATGAATGACATCACAAGGATATTTGGAAATCATATACTAAAATACTACTCAAAGCTATTCAAAGCAAATGCATATGTTAAGAAATAAATGAATTCAAGCGACTATCAACACCAGAGACATCAGAAAGAAAATAAGTATCTACAAATTATAAATTGGAAAGATGACAGGTAAAACATGCATGCCGCAATAAAGGTAAGTTGTGAGAGAATGATTTCAATATTGCCTAGTTAAAAGTACCCATTTTAGACAGACACAATGGGCCACACATAATCTCAGGTATTCAATAGACAGAGATGAATAGGATTGTAGCATAAGGTGAAGGGCAGAGTCCATCTGAACACATACACTCAAATATTGGTGAATGCCTCTATTCCAAGCTGTATAGGAAACAGCACCTAAAACAAAAACCACGGAGGTGGGAGGGCAGGAATAACTAAAACAAAAAAATTATTGAGGAGGGGTACTTATAGCTCATACCCATAATCTTAGCTACTCAAGAAACTGAGATCTGAGGATCATGGTCCAAAGCCAGCCTTGGCAGTAAAGTCCATGAGACTTTTAGCTCCAATTAACTACCAGAAAACCAGAAGTGGAGCTGTGGCTCAAAGTGGTAAAGCCATAGCCTTGAGAAGAAAGAGATTAGGGACAGTCCAAGCCCTTAGTTCAAGCCCCATGACCAACAAAAAATAAAAGCAAGTGCTAAGGGTGATGGGTCAAGTGATCTATCATTTGAGATGGTTTCTGTTACCAAGTACTGTACCTTTACTACCAAAACAAAACAAACTTGAGGACCAGTGACTCAAACCTGTAAT